CAAATTTTACGGGACTGCGTCGTAACAACGTTCACGTTCTCGTTCTCGTAGGGTGGGATGGCTCAATCGCTCTACCCCGTAGCTACGGTAGAACGACAGGCTGGCTCGCTGCTGCGGAGTTTCCCTTCTGAACCGTAACGCCGGCTCCAGGTAAGGAAAGCAGTCGGTTGGTAAAGCTAGCAACCTGGGCGTCGTCCTCGAAGCTGAACGAGGGCCGGAGTAGCGGCTGGAGATGTTGTTGAGAGTATGGTAGCCGCCGAGCGAGAGAGCCTGAGTACCGCATGCGTTGTGGTAGGCAACCACGGGACGTGGTTTTGGACGTGGCGGAAAGCCGAAGATGTCGCCCCTCGTATTAACCATCGAGGTCAATATCGATATTTATACGTCGATTTTCCTAGCAAATACTCAAAGTGTGAGCATTGGATGTTACGTAGTATATTTGAAAAAGAAATAAAAGAAAAACGAACCTGTAAGCACTTATATTGCAATGTCGAAGCATTCAATTACAGTTTTAAAAACCAAGTGATCTCTTTAAGCACCATTCGTTTGATGCTGATATCGGCAAAGTAAAAAAGAGAAAGAAAGCATCAAACGAATTAGGCCTGCACCAACAAAGCGAATTCTGAAATAGTCTGACTAACGTTGCAAATTCATTCCGACCCAGTTTTGCGGTTAATAGTCTCATTCCCTTTGCACGATTGAGCGCTTGAGCGAGCGAGCGTTTTCAATTGCTACTCTAATTATGGAAGCCTCACTGCAATATATATATAGTATATGTTTCACCTAACTTCGATGCATCACTGATGTTAAGAATATAGATATTGCTCGATCGTTTCTCTGCTTACTATCTCGCTTAGGTCTGCAAAGCAGTGCCCGTGTGGCTCATCTGTGGAAGGTTAGGTTCAAGTATAAATATATACAATATGTAATTTAATAGGTTTGACAGTTTTGTAAACGTCAAAGTTGACATAAAAGTATTTTTTTGGACATACGATGATTGGCGTATGTCACTCTAATTAACAACTATATTTTATGCGTTAAGAATATCACATTCTATTTTATTAGACTTTTCATCGGTTTTATCGTGCGAGAAACACATTAAATATCTGTTATGTGACTATAAAAGTACATTAGTGTGATGTTAACAGAAGGATTTATTTTATCTTTGTGATAATTTTATTACGCTATTAAATCTGCATTTGTGTGTAGAACAACGAACATAATATCAGACATGCACTTCTTGTATAAATCACGTAATGGTGAAACGTACAAGTTCTGAAATAATGTCGAGCAGCGTTTTAAAACGTTTGAAATATAGCACGTCACTTTAGTTACATATTTTGTGATAGTCCATTACTAGATCTGTGCTTTTTGTTTTTTATGTAGATTTATATTGCAGGTATATTTATGGTATATAATTTTAGAATTTAGAAGATTGCAAGTCATTTACTATATTTTTTAGAGAAAATCTCTAACGGTGATAATTGTCTAATCAAACTTGAAAAATCACACGATTTGACCGAAGGTTTTCACAAACCATTTCGATTGGAAGTCTCGTAATGCCAAACGAACCACGAGAAATAACATTCTATCATGTGACAATCGTGAAAAAAGGCGAAATCAAATCGATAAATTGTGGGATCTAAAACGTCAGTGTTACAAGGCACATCGATCGGAGGAGGAAACTTAGTTAGCCGGATAAGTTTATGATAAAACATGGGAGAGAGAAGAGAGGGCTATCAAAAGTCGTTAAGTGTCACGCCCTTTTTAAGTTTCTACCGCCTCCCGAGTAAGAGCTTTGTCGCATATTGTCAAGCTTTTTTTAAAATTCCTCTTTTTGTTCATGACTAAAGTGGTATTAGGAATGCGATTAACCGTCGTGAATTTTGAGTGTCCGCTGTTTTATCTTATCAATAAGCTATTGATTTCATTGTTTGGAGTGTGCTCGTAATTTATATTATGTTAATGAAATCACTGGAGTTTTTTTCGTCACCGTAAAACTTAAGTTACTATAATTACTGCGAGACGTTTATTAATTTAGGAAATAATTTTAATTAAATTTCGACATTCTATAATAATTATTTATAAGTATAGTCTGCTTCAGTTAGTCAAAATATCATTTGAATAATTTTAATGACATGAAAACAATATGATCAATAACGTTTTGCTATATAATGTTTATATTAAATATTGTCATAAATGCTATTGTTATAATTGAATACAATGCGTATTGTTAATTAGTTGGTTATTAGTTTCATCTTAGCCTATTGGCATACAGGCAGACGAGTGTTCGCCCGCTACTTCTATATGGATTCTGATAGGAAGAGAGTGTTCTGTATCTTTGTATTTCTCAAAGAGCATCGGAGTACCGCGCCCCAAAATCTAAAATCTTGTCTAAATCAAACTACTCCGATTATAAGATCTACAATTTATTAACTAGTGAAATTCAAACTACTATAAGAACACTGATGTTGGTGTTAGTACGTACGCTTCTTTAGAAAAAAGCTATTGGTATTCACCGGAAATCGAATCCAAATTATAGAAATCTCATTCTCTATCATGAGCCACCGTGTTTCTCTAATAACGATTTTAAGTATTGTAATTGGTCATTCATACAATAATGCTATACTCTGAATAGAGCAATACCTCGAAGCTATTTAAATTAATAATTATTATTAATATCGTGTTTCAATTCAAATATTACCAATATATTGAAATAATAATTTGTAAACATCTGGTATATGATTCATCGAAATAAATTGCTGTTGTTATTGCTTTTGGCGAAGCCCTAGAGTATTAAATAAATTAAAATAGACATATTTTCTAATTTATTCTATTTTAAAAAAAACATCAATAGAACATTATATATTGGAAAAAGCTTTTTATCTAATCCATATTATTAAATGTACATTATAGATTGAAATGTTTTATTTCGTAGAGAAATATCAACCAATTTTCTAAATAATAATGCCCAAATCAAATAAGAAAGATTTAGGTCGAGTCGCGATTCATTATTCAGTTTCACCCTCTTTTTTTACGAATTGGCCCTGTACATGGTCTACAGTGGCCGTCTATCGATAAATTCCCTTGAGGAATTGAATTGCGCCTGAATTATTCAAGTAAAATGTGCATATATGGTTGTAAATTCATGAATCCCAAATGGACGTTTGACGTTAGTTAATTTACAAATTCTGTAGCAACGTGTCGTACGTGGTTTACCTAACAAGCGTGATAAAATATACAATTTTAATTTTGATATACGTGGTTGATTCAGTTATAATCACTTTATTTATATTTTTCTATAATTTACGAATTGTTTCAATGCTTTTTTGTTTATTTTAATAATGAGGAAACATTTTTTGCGAACTAAGACCTTTTGAATGTAATGTGATTTATTAAGCAAATTCTTTATTACTCGTTGGATTTTTTCAATTTGAGAACATTTTCTTTTAGAAATGCAACATTTAAGAAATTTTTTTTTACAAAGCGACTTGTTAGGAGAGAAAAATGATATTTATTTGTCACAAATGCAGAAATTATTAGATAGTAATCAGGACAAAGCTTTTTTATTTTAACTAGAAACATGGTTTGCTCAAGCACGAAAATGTCACTTAAATAAGACCAATCAATTTACCGTAGCTAAAAGAAAATACGCATGAAATGTTAAAATAAGACTTAAATTATAGCTAGTCTCAAGGGATGAATGTAGAAGGGAGAGAGGGGCAATTTTCATCTAGCCACATTGGAATATAGTTCGGTCAGAAAGGGCGAGAGGGAGAGAGAGAGAGAGAGGAGGTTATACGTTATAGCGTTTCGGTTATAATTACACTCGGCTGGGCGATAATTGCCTACAGTTTGCCTGCAGGCAAAATTATTTTAGACTAGCCGCATGATCGAGAGAACGATGCTTATTGGATTGAAGTTTCACGGGGTAATAAACCTGTTGCCCGAATGAAACAAATCTATCCAAGCTTTGCATGCAGATGCAACGAGGATTTTTCAACGATTGCGCGTCTCTCTATATTCTTCGTGGATTTTCAACCGAAACGACTTCGGCTGCTTCTGCTCTTTATCCTCTTTCTATGTTCATGGTTTGGCTCCGCGAAAGGGCTTATGTTATCATTGGCATCGATGAAGGAACTGAGGTATTTTTCTGCTCCACGGTTTATCGAACGTGATTTTTCTTCGATGTTCTATTTCAAAAGAGGAAATACGATTGAGTAAGAGAAAATACAATTCCAAGCTTGTTATCGTTAACTGATATTTAATCGAACAGGTTGCATTTTTCAGGAAAAAATGTGGATGAAATCCTTTCATCTATCGAGGCTATTGTGGCTCGCATCTTGGAAAATTTTCGAATCTCAACAAATGCATTTTTGCGGGAAAAAAGTAGAAACAATCTTATTAGCAAAAGAACAACACGCTTAAGGCTTCTCGAATCCCACGATTCACGCTCACATGTACACAAAACGCTTAACTTAATTTGAACGACGACGGAAAATTATTTCGCGCAGTACCGCCGAGTCCCAAGAGGAATTTTATGAAATTTGCGAGATTCCCCGAGAGTAGTGAGATCCTCTCAACAGTGGCGGTGGCGAAAGCCTCCGCCATCCCATACGCGAAATTCAGTTTAATCCTCGAAACGCTGAAATACAAGGTGCATTATTTTCACTAACACCCTACCTACACGTCGGTCAGTCCTTACGGTGCTCAAGGGTTTCTAATGACATCTGCACGCGAGAAATAATGGAGCAGACAAATATAAGAAACAATATGAGGTACTTTTTTATTTTTTCAGTTTACCATTACGGTGAAGTTGAACAAATTATTTATTTTTTATCTAAGCAAAGCGAATTGCAAGCGTGTATTTATTTCTGCTCCCGTTTAATTCCATTGTCATGGATTGGATTTGGAGTTTTCATCTTACATGTTTTGAAATTTTTAATTCTGTGATTGATTCAAAGTTCGCTGCTTATATACGGATAATTTTTATGTTTCAGATGAGATGTTGATGACTGACTGCGTAAGTTGAAGTTGGATTTTGTTATTGTTTTAGGAATAGATTGAGCAAAATTGGCAATGTTTTTAATTTGAAACATTGTCGCAGCCTGGGACGAATTTATATTTTATTGACATCTCTTTCTTATATTTAGAAACAGCTGCCAAATGCAAATTTTAAAATCGCTGCAAAGTTAGATCGGTACAACTTGGCTAACCCCGCGTGACTTAAGTTCAAATTGTTAATATCCCAGAGTACCTTCTATGTCTATCAATTTTTGATAGTTCAAAAACACAATAACTTTTTTAACGGTTCGGAAAATATGGATTTTAATGTTTTTTAAATTTTAGTAAAGTATATATTTCAGTATCATTTTCTGCGAAAAATAAGAATCCATTTTCAAAATTACAAACAAACGTTTCTACAAAATTATTTCTGATTGAGGTCTTTAATTAAGTAACTTAATTTGTTCCTTTTTCTATTCAATGTGTACTAATTATTGTGTTGAGTAAAATGTGCTAAAATTAATTAACACGTTTTCCAAAATAGTATGACCATCCGATTTTAGCAAAGAGAAAATGAAAATGAAATGTTAATATTACATGAGAATTTTTGTGATCAAACGATTTAAAGGAAAAAAGAAGAGTGCTATGATCAATGAGTATTTCAAAACATTACAATATACCCTTGCTATTACAGATTAGACATTAGATGAATAATAAATGTACACGAGAGCATAAAGTATAGTCACATTATGCTGGAAAACAAAAGTACCTATAAATCAATTTCGCTTTGAAATTTTATTGTATTTTATTGAGTTGCGTGCACGTGAGAAAAAGTTGTTCTTTGATTTATGTTTCAACAGCGTGAAACGGCGCAATGGGAACGAGAAGTGTGTTAGAAAAAGTTGAAAATAGCGTTTAGACATAGTAAAATATAGAGCAATGATCTAGTCTAAAATTCAATTCTGTTATTGCAAATAATAATTTTGTAAGATGTTTTCCTTTAATCAGAAATCTTTAATCAAATTATTTAGTACTTCCATAAAAAGTTTTGTTATTTGTGATTTGAGAGAATACATTATTTAGTTAATTTTGTACAGAAAAATTCATAATATGTTGTGCTAAGAATATGTTATGCTCGAATATCTTCGACATACTCGTCGACGTATAGAAGAGCTTACATTAACTTCATCAATAGGATTATTTGTAAAAAACATAAAAATGTGATCTCGTCCTTGATTAATGATTGTATAAAAAGAAAAAATAAGTTTCAATGCAAGCAATTTCATTGTATCGCAAAACTTGCGATTTTTGCTATTATCGAGCTTTAAAAAGTTGGGCCGTAAAAGTCTCCTGTTGCGCCGCGCATGCACGTCCAACTTTTAGCCATTGATTAAGCGACTGTAAATAGGTTGCTCGAATCGAACTTTTCGTATAGATAATGTTTTTTCCTTTTCTGATTCGAGTCGAGCGATCGGATTAACGCTCAGTAATTTATGGCCTTTCACCGCGAGCCGCTTCAATCAAAAACTGTCTCCTTTAGGCGCGTATTCGTTTCACGTCGGTGATTGATGCCACGTTAAGCTTGATTTGACAAGGCTTTAAAGATTTTCTACTAATACGACTTCTCGTTCCCATCGCGCCCTTTGGTGCGGTTAACACGTAGTTCAAAGAACAGCTTTTTCTCTTGTGCACGCCATTCGATAGAATACAATGTAATTTATTAATTTTTAATTTATTATCTTTTAGTAGTGATGAACTTTGATAACGTGAATCATGATAACTAATAAAAGTCCATTTCTCAATTATCTTTTCATGGGCTTATTATGCCTGTTATTGTTAAAATTATCTTTTTTAATGAATTAGCTTGCTATGTTTATTTCGTAATTGCATAAAAATAAAATATATAACGAAGTATAAAAGTGGAAGACGACGAAAATGTTCCAACAAATTATTCAATAAATGTAAAAGACTCTGAATCTTCTTTCTAATTTTCTTGAGACTAGATGAGATTGTAGAGATAAATTTATTTTTCTAGATAATGAGGCGTTCGTAAATTCTATAAGAATCCTTTTCTTCGATAACTAGAAAGTATTTATATTTATATAAGATTTCATTTTTGACTAAACTTATTTGAAATAAAGACAAGGTCAACTATGATATAATAAGTTCGATAATTTTATTAATATTGCATTGTTTAATATGCTCCCCTTCAAAATAACGAAAAGGGTACGTATCTAGTTAATTTTCCGTTTATCGAAATTGATTAATGATTGAGAATAAGTAGTATAAACATGAATAAACTGACGAATGACGATATGTATGTGTCACAAAGTTCTCAGGTGTTTTTCCAGTTGATAATTTTCTCATAAAGTGAATTTTTAGGTAAAATTGAAAAACTTGGATGCACGTAATGGTTTTAGACATTCTCACGATATCAGACAGACTTATTTTCAACCATTAAACCTACTTATAACCAAATTAATATGCATTAATTTCCTATTCGATATTGAATATTATGTGAAATTAATAAAATAATTTCCGAAAATATGATGATTGAGTGGACCATTTTTACTGATTGTTAATCGACGAGCAAAGAAAAAAATATTTTCGTCATACAAGCTTTCCACGTAATCAAATTGTTTCTCCAAAGCTTACTGGATGTCCCATTTATTTGAGAACTGAATGTCTGCTAAAATAAAATATGGCATCTTATATTACGATAGTAAAATCTTGAGTGTGTGCAACAATTACCCACTGACTCGATGTGCTCGTCTAGTGAAAAAATGTAGGATGCGGATCGAAGTCAGAAAGTCAAGAAATCACAAATTTGAAAATGTACATACATACACACATTGAAGGGGTAGAGGACGCATAACGAAGTTGGGCAAACAAAACGGATTACGGGTCATTAATGTACAGGCGAATTGCGCTTGTCGATGTGTACAGGCAGGCTCTAATGGAGCTATTGGATTTCGAATTACCAGACAATCAGTTAATTAAATATAACGTTACTCTGGAGAGAGAGAGAGAGAGAGAGAGAGAGAGAGAGAGAGAGAGGGGGGGGAGGAGGCTATCTGTGTAGAGGATATAGGGATTTGGTTGACTGGCCATTTCGCGATCAATTGCCGCTTTGGCGACTGGGATTTAGTTATGGTTAGCAAAAGCCATTACTCTAATCCGTGAAACGAGAGATTCAGTTGGATTTTACAATTGCCAACCCTATTTTATCGATACTTTTTCTTTTATAGTAATGCGAAGTGATAAAACGTATGTGAATTTGATATAACCACTGGTCATCGATTATTATACCATTGAAGCCATTGATTATTTGCTATTCGTAATGCGATTTGAAAGAAAATTTCCATTAGGATTGTGATCGATGTAGCGCTGTTCGTAAAGCTGATTAGCTTATAATAATCGTATTTAGATTAACTCGTACCTTTAGATATCGTTCAATTGGCAACACATACAATGACACTTTCGAAAGTCTAGTCCAACAACCTGGAAATGTCAATTAAAGCTCAGCGAAAAAGCTAAATAGAAGCGTATTCAGAAAAGCCATTCACTTCAAAGCATACGATCACTGCTTTCACAGTACAGTAGTCGAGATTTTCTTTAATATTTCATATCGTTATAATAGTTGATGAAAATCAACTAATGGCGAAAATTCATTCTATCATATCCAGCTTTATGAAACCCAAATTCATTAATTACGAAAACCTAAATTCATTAATTACGAAAACCTAAATTCATTAATTTGTACAAATTTAACGTTAATTCTACCCAAAAACTGACATCAGCATCTGCAAATGATATATCAGTTTACTGTTCTCACCGGTACTGAATTAATGAATTCGTGACAGTGTTCAGTGAACTTTCTGATTTGTTATGTTGTAAAACTTGTAAAGGATCGGGGAAGTTCGAAGAGATTGGCGCCTGTGGTCTATGTTGGAAACTATCTCTGTCGTGTAAATGTGGCATAAATTACGTGCCTTCTGGTTCTTGCATCAACAATGGTTTCGGAGAAAATTGTTGCATAGCGTTTGTGATGAGGCTCTTAGCTGTCGGTTTGCAAAGTATTAATTTATTTTCGAGCTTGATGGATTTATATGAAATGACCAACAGGTCAGCGTATGACAGTATCGTCGATCGCATTCATCAAGCAACAAAAATTCATTCCATTCAAGTCAGTTCGAAAACTTTTGTCGAAGAAGAAAAAAAAATTGTCCGATTACGTATCATGGAAAAAAAACGCGATTTTCCATTAAAAATTGGCTTGACAATTTTAATATTATACTGTTCTGAAAAAATCGTAGATTTGATTGTCAAAAGTAGTTTTGGTAAAGGTAGTCTAACATGTCATGCAGCATTACTCAAAGAATCTTCAACTTATAAAAAAAACATACTATTTGAAAGATAATTTAATAATTTTATCCATGAATCTACTTGTTTTGAAGGAAAAAATGTAACCGTTATTTTGCAATAATAATGAAAAAAACTTAAAAAATTTTTTTTTTAAAAGTCTGTTATTTTGTTACAGATTTTTTTATTCTCTAAAATTAGGTTTCTAGACAAGATATAATCCTTATAATAATAGAAAAATTCTTTTTTTATGTTTAAGGAGATACAACATACATGACTCTGCGCGTAATTAAAAAAAAATTGTTTATTGTGTTTATTTCTATTTTTTACCACCGCCTCTAATGTAAATTATGTAAAAAAATATGGTATGCATGTTCAAGGCTAGATACACTGTAAAATTTTTGAATAAAAACATTGTATAGTTTCTTCATGATAAATTCACAAAAGTCGAGATAATTTTTATCCATTTATATAAGCATCTCCCTTTAAAGTCGTTTTTTTAAATTTAGAATTTTAAACATAGTTTGTTTTTTGTTCAATTTTTGTTAAATAAAAGAAAGCAGTATTTATATTAATCTTATCATCTGAGAAAATATCATTTTCTCCAACTACAATATTCTTGTATGGAAAAGGAATAAGTTAGAAGTTATGACAAGC